ACCCCGCCCCTCAGCCCCTTACAGTAGATGTTATAAATTGCCACTTTTAAGCAAATACACATACTTTGAAGTAATGTTACTAAAAACAAGTTAACATGTTTATTATTGGTTTCAGCAAGGACACAGGGGTTATAGGTGAAAGTGATGATTTGACCATTCATTTAAAGTGCAACAGGCTGCTTTCAACCTATATCAACTAGGATAAGGTGTATAAAGTACTCAGATGTTTTACTTCATTAAAAGTAGCAATAATACAGTGTAAAAAGTACTCTGATAAAACGAAAAGTCCCCCATTTTAAAGTAAATGTGCAAAAGTAACGGCATGAAATCCCCACCATCAAAGTACAAGAAGTAAAAATACTTATTTTAAATAATTAGATTACTTGATTATAATTTGAGCTCATTGTAATTACTTTATATTATAAACTGCTGGGTAGTCAAATCTATTATAATGTATTGGTTGGATTATATTTTGTAGTGATAACTTAGCTCTGCAAAGTAGCTAGTAACAAATGCTGTGAAATTTAGTACACATTTCAACATTTGGCTACAAAATGTAGAAATAAATTGTAATAATGTGAATATATTCAAATGAAGTGCAAGTTCCTCACATGTCCCACTGGAGTACAGTGTTTGAGTAGATGTACTTGGTTACATTCTACCAAATCTGATTACCACTTATAACACCGGTCCAATGCTCTTACTGTAGGTCAGTTTTTGGTGTTACATTAATGGGGAAGCATATTTTATTAATAACATTTAGATTTGTGTTGAGCTTATGAAAGTGTCTACAGTCCATATGTTGTGTTTCTCACCCACTCAGTGCCCACTCTAGTGATGCAACAGAAAAACCCAATAAAATGATCAGACACAAACATAAAAGGATATTTGGAGGAAAACACCATCGAAACCCTGCAATGGAACGTTTAACTCTTTTCCCCTCACTGTCAGTGTTGATGTTTCACTGTCAGCCGAGGGAGGGAAGTGAAGCTTGACTTCTTGATTAGGTTAACGAGGTGGAAAAACACATTAGCAACCACTTTAATGACAAAATGAGCTCATTGCATCATTTCACTCCAGATACTAAGGGTGTCATTAAAGATGTTGTAGGCAAACAGAAGCCCAAACCTTCCCTGTCATGCTGATGAATCCTCTGGTTCTGATGCTGCAGGAGGAGGAGGAGGAGGAGGAGGACTCAGCACATACAGAATAACAAACACTCTGCTGCAGGGAAAGACACCTTGGAGACCCTGTGGACCTTTTACAGCTATGTCAATAACTGCAGGTGAGTTCCTCCATGCTACATCACCCTCATGGACATGGCACCAGGAGCAGAGTGTCGAGCTTAAAGCCCGAAGGACACGAAAAAATGATTCTTGCAGCACTTCAAGGGCCAATCCATCAAAAAACAACCTACATGTAGCAGTAGCAGCCGCCAATATGAAAGGATTTTCCAAAACATTTGTGTTGCCATGAGTCCATAAAGCTTCAACCTAAATCAAATCCTCTCCTGTTCGAAACATCAATTCAAAGTATTTATCATGAGGAAAACAAAAACCTTTTACCCAACTAAAGCATACATTTTTTTACAGAGCTATTTCCTGATTTAGCTTCAATTGAATTATTCTAGCTGGGTGGTCATAACATGACGTGTATTCAAAACCGGGGTTGTCAGCTAAATGTAGTTAGAGTATGAAAAGTATCCCTAGTGATGTAAAACGTGTTTTACTATTATATGTATTTGGGTTAATATTTCTGCTGTGTGTGTTTAATTCTACTGCTTTAGATGTTGAAGGTTATGCTTTATTTAATTACTTGATTTACTGCTGTGTACATGTGTAGTTCCATTCACCGCAATTTATTATATATTTTTTATTTATTTATCTAAAAAGAGACAAAAGCACATTAATTAACATGGGTACTTGAGACCATGAGGTAAATATGCCAGATTTAGAAATGTAGGCTTATTTTCAACTGAAGTCTCTGGCAGGTAGATGGAATTAAGCTAAATCATACAAGCCAAATTACAGCACATATTAAAGCACACATTTCAAATGAAATACACTTGAATACAAACCCATAAACATGCAACAGACGGAAAAAAACATTGATAGCACATATACAAGCTAACAGGCACAGACTGTTAAAAAAATAATGATATAACCCCTACTAGTTTATGGCAGTGTATTTAATTGTCCAGTAACAACTGTCTGTTTACAGAGTTAAGAGATATGATCCTTAGATCTAGTGAAATAGAGCGGTGCAGTTATGACATATTTTTGTATTTTCACCAGGAAATGATAGCTTCGCAATGGCTCGCTCGACAAAAATCTAAGGGATTTCCTTTGGATTTTGGAATATTGCTGAAAATAAGGGGCAAACACACATTTATGATACTCAACACTTTTGTTCACCAGGATAACCTCCACATATTAACACCACTTTTATAATAGCTTTAGCGTAAATGGAATCTCCAGAAGTATAGAGCTAACGCTAGGCTATAACAAACTACATCCTCCTATTTTATGCTGTCAAACTAAAAAGTGAAAATCTCTTCTACTTGTGATAACCACAGACCCTATTTCAGTTGTCTTAATAAAAAAAAGAGAGAGGACAAGGAATTGGAAGTTGAAAATGCTAACTAATTTCCTGGTTTTGGGCCACATTCCTGCACCACTCTATTGTGTTCCAGGAATATATTGCCCACTGGGAAAATGCTGACTGCCAAGAGGTACTTTTCTATAAGGTGTTTTTACAATGACATCATATTCTATAAGATCATCAAGTGTTTTATTGCTGTGAAAATCACATATCTCTCCGAACTTTTCCTGAGTGTTGGTGGACCACCAGCAGAGATTCATCAAAATGACCCTACACAGACTCACATCCACACCACTAATGACTTCCTCTCTGTGCATTCAACGGCCCTCATTGTGAGATGAAATCACATTATGCTTAACATGGCTGATGGTGATCTCACTGGTCTGGACCGTGTGTCTTGCCTGTTTCCTGTCAGCTGTTGTTTCTACCGTCTGCGTTGAAGGACGTCTGGCGTGATTGTGTGTGTAACTTTATTTAGTCACTTCCTGAGCATGTCACATGTTCCAGGGAAGAGAACACATCTGGAACAACCAATCAACCATCCATCAATATGCTGTCAACACCCTCAGGTACAGTGGCTTTACTATAGTATATATTATCTCATTACAGGCTACTACATGGACACAAGCTGGTGCACATGATCTGATAACAGTATATTCCTGAGGTAGGCCAAGGCACTTTTGACTGCTGTATTTCTTTCATAACTGTAGTTGTTTGCACAGGTTGTGTGTGTATTTCTGTGTAGGATACATGATGAGTTTTGGCAAAGATTTCTGAACTCCTTGCTCTGGGCAGCAGTTGAATGTTGGAATAACATGGGAGAGAGAGAGAGTGTGGTGTGTGTGTGTGGCTTCACTTTGTTATTGGACAATTTTTTAAATGTTTGTTTCTGTTTTTTGGGAAACACTGTTTTTTAAAAGTTTTTTTTTCAAAATAAAATAAAACATGAGGGAAACATTTCTCTCCTATGAATAATGCACATTTTATTAATAATCTGTAACAAGGCGGAATTGTCTTTTTAATGCGTTTTGAATTATGTCAGAAATCAGAATGAAATCTATGAAAAGTAACCAAATATATAAACGTGTTTTTTATACATAGAATAATTAAGCTCTCCTTGTACTTAAACAATCTATTTTCGACTTTATAAAAATAAGTTTTATTGAAAAAAGTTTGGAGCATATTATGTCCTGTATTCATTTAAAAGAACTACATTGGGCGTTTAAAACATGTCAATCATACTTTCTGCAGCATCTTTTGCATAACTTGTCTAAGCAAGGAACTTACCAGGACTATTAGTAGGCATATGCATCTCTAAATGAACATTTCCGAGGATTTCCTCACTCTCAGAGCTGTTATTCTTTTTTCTCTCATTTCTTTATCACTTATTCTGTATGTGGTGTAGTTTTTATGCAAAGTGACATTACCCTCTGGTGGTTTGCACAGGAACTGCACAAAGTATGTGTCCATTTATTCATGTGGATTGTTTGTTTATTAATAGAAAAGGTGGAACAAAATCAAAATAAAAAGAGGTATGGCCTATTATTGTAATGTAGGTATACAATGCAAGCCACTGGGTCACATGACACAGAAGCTATTCAAGAAAAAACAAGATTTACAAATTGAAAAAAGCTGAATTTTCATAAAGTCCAAATGTATAACAAAAAAAGCATTACAATCTAATAAAGAGTTGTGTCTAAGGAGTCACATGACACAAAAGCTATTTGAAACAAATTAATTGTTCATAAAATATTAATATAACATTTAAATAAAAACACTAATACCACAAAAACTAAAATATATCGAATTTGGGGTCAAGTTATCACGCCATAATGCCTTTTGCCAAGATTGGTAGATTTCAGGCAGGCTACTAAAGCTGAACTACACCCATTTTCAAAACTACTACAGGTTATTTTTATGGTCTATAGATCAAATCATTAAAGGTCCCATGTCATGGCCATTTCTACTGATCATAATTCCATTGTTGAGGTCTACTAGAAATAGAATAGATTTATATTGTGCAATTTTCCAAACTCACATTGGTTTCTCATACAGCATCTCTTATAGTATGTGTATTCACTCTGTCCTAAATGGCTTGTTGGAGCTCCTGCCTTTTATCTAACCATCTCCGTTTCTAACTTTCAATATATTTTAAAATAGATCTCTCTCTCTCTCTCTCTCTCATCTGCGTGCGGGGGCGGGGCCTCACAGACACGCTGCATCTCTCTCTCGCACAGACATGCTGCAGCGCTGTAATAACCGGAAAAGCATGACATGGGGCCTTTAAAGGCAACACACAATTTATTTTACACTATACAGTCATTTCATTCGTAAATAATACAATTTTGATGATTGCCGCTTTACGACCTCAGAAAGTGGATTAAAGACAAACAACGAGCCACTGTAATCAGTTTATTGGTCAAATGAAAGGATGAATGTTGTGAGTACACACTTGCGTATCAAGCTACCAAAAGTCCATCTAGTTACAAACATACGTCCCCTTTCCGTCTAAGAAACTATTATAAAGGTTAATGGGTTGTTTTTCATACTGACTGTACATAAAAAGAAACCAGGAACTGGATTTGTACATTATAAAAACACCACATCTTGGATGAGAATGAAAAAGTTTACATAAAGGAATTTCAAAAGATTTTTCTGTATAAACAAATTTCCAAGACGGATCTTTGCTAAAAATATTTCTTCTGCCTAAATAATTGTATCCCCTTTCCACATTTAAGTTCATATATTTCAAAAACAGTTAAAAAAAAAACATTTCACTCCTTAAACTGGATCTATTTTAGGTCAAATATAAACTTAAAGCTATCTTAAAAAAGGAAAATCTTGTTTTTGCTTGTCGAAGACAATTGTAAACTCTGAGTGATACATTCACAAAACAAGCATCATAAATTCCTCTTTAGTACCACATTATTTCTATTATTTCCAGGACAAAATTTAAGAAAAGAAATATACAAAAAACTGCCAACTTTTAAAAACCAGCTGCTAAATAAAACACTGGCAGACTTTTTTTGAGTCAAATTCACACAAAGAATGACTAAAATTATGTACAAATGACTAAAAACATTTCACAATAACTCAGAACGCTGGTGTATAAAAAACAAAAAAACATGCCTCACACAGAGGATTTTTCCAGTTGTTCAAATCAGTTGTCATGCTAATGTTAGCTTAGCTTCTTACGCTACAGACGATAAAAATGCAATTTCTCTTCAGATTTTTGGGGGAAACTAAAATCAAGAAGCGATAATTTACAGAGACGCTTTAATCGGGACCAACAGGTTCCTGATCAAATGTAGTCTTGTATAAATGTAATCAAAATCATTTTCAGCATCTCTCTCTAAAGTGCACAAAAAAAAGTCACAGAAATAAAATAAGGTGGAAGTTGATCACGAGAAGAATAATCTAACAAGGTATAAAACAAACAAATTATTTTACATTTGGACAAATGTTTCACCAAATATAAGATGGTGAACAAAATGCATTATTTTAAGGTTCCCTCTCTTTCTTTCTGTTCCACCAGTTAGCTTCCTCCAGTCAGCTGCTTTAGTACTTTGGCACTTTGGTGTAGTCCTCTGTGTGGATGTTCCTGCACAGGCAGATGGACAAGATCATCCCCACCAGCTGTCAAACAAAAACATAGATCAATACTTCATTAAAACCTTTTTCATCTTTAAGACATGTTTTATCTATGAGTGCACATCTTTAAATATTGTATGTCTATGAAACTTTTTCTATCTCTAAAACATAAAATATAAATAATGTTTATCTTTAAAACACGTACTTGTTTGTAACGGCTCTTTGAAAGTAAGCCGCAGCCTCACTATGAATATGCTGTTTGTACTGTGACATGATGTATGGGGGCTTTTACTATGTGGTCACTACATTAAAGTACTTAATAGACAGCGTTGTTTTTTAATTCATGAAAAAAAAGAACATATCTGCAATCACATCACTGTGTGGTTGTTCCGTTTTGTCTTGGTTGATTGTTTTATCCGCCAGTTGTACTGAGAGCTTTCAGATCAGCCTAAAGACTTTGTGCCCCAAGTGCAACTTTATAGAAAGACCATGACAATGTACCTCAATCAGAGCCACTCCAAGGCAGATACCCAGAACGACCCCAAGGTTGGTGTGCAGCCAGCTCTCCACGCTGGCAGCACAACCCTGAAGGTGAGTAATCAGAAGACAGAAGAATGAATACACGAAGAACACAATCATGTAACAGTAAACAGGAAACTAATGCAACCTTTAGAAATAGAAAAACAGTGTTTACCGTGTCGTATACGGGCCAGTCGGGCGTCTGAGCCTCACAGAAGCTGCTGTCGGAGAAGTTCCCGGTGAAGGCCGAGATGTTCTGGCAGGAACAGGGAAACAGCAGCTGGGAGCTGTTGACGATCACCTCGTTCCCGCTCCAGTCCAGACGGCTGCTCCAGCCACAGCACTCCATCTACACACACAGAAATACACTTATAAGGTGTCCTTACTCAACAAACTTGACCTATAGGTCGTCATTGAATGCAGCTCATTACGACCTCTAGTGGCTTAAGTAGTTATGACTGGAGCAAAGGAGGAAGTCATTTGTCACCGTATAAAGACAGTCAAAGCCCACGAATACGGAAGATGACAAGGTTCAGGGTTTGGTCTGACAAACCCAAGACTTTCATCCAGGAAATGTGTTCCTTTAGAAACTAAAAGTACACACATTAGGTTCTTTTACGTAAGTTACAATGTTAGTTGTACCATGTCACTACGTTACATAGGTAACACACTTTCTTATTTCAACCCAAACAACAATCTTTTTCTAAAACTAACCAAGCAGTTTTGTTGTTTAAACTTATCAAAGTTGTGTCGTTTTACTGTGTCAACTAGAATGCTCGTATATGTTGTTTTGATCATACCTTTACTTGGGTCTGTACCTTTAATGCCATTTCTACTCAGCTTTAGTTACTTTATTTAGAAATTAGGTTTTTGCACACCTTCTGTTAAATTCAACCAACATACTAGCCACAAGTCAATTATTACCGGTGTTAGAGCACCTTCATGACTTGAAGGTTTATAGTTTTTTAATTGATGAATTCAATTAAGTGAAGGAAAATATGTTTCAATGATAAGATTTAAAAAAGAAAAGAACTTATCCTTTAAGTGGCCTTATTCAGAGGTCACCTGAATTCCTCAGTTTTGTGGTCAGTAGTAAAAGATAAGAGTTAATGGGTTTTGCTGTTCAAATGCGTTTTCCCTTTTTTGCTACAGTATGTGTGTGGCAGTTAAGAGAACATTTTAATATTCTTTTTTTATTATTATTCATTTTCATCCATGAATCTATTGTAAATTGAGGCCTGTGTATCCAGATATATCTTTGAATAACAGGAACACTTCTTTCTGTACTTTAGTTTGTATTACTCTGTCATGATATCAAATCCTTTTGACAAAAAGAGATAGGATTATAGGACAAAAAGAGCATCTTGAATCGAAGCCTGGATCAGTTTTTCCAACTCACATTCCTCTGGATGAAGTCCCAGGCCTGCTCCGTGGTCGAGTTGTTGCCAGAGTAGTTGTCCAGCACCTGGGCCACGACCTTTGACACCTTTTCATTTAACTGAAACGAAACAATTATGTTCATAAAATAAATGTATTTTGATGCAAAGTATAGATTCAGCAATGTGAAGAGGCAAAAATCAGCTGAGCTTGCTTGATCTGAAGCAAAATACTTTGCTTTTTTTTAGTTTGCTATTCACCGTTTATAGTTTTTTTCATTATATATTTCTGACTTGTTTTTTCCCCCTAGTTATTTGGACTGTTCGATAGTGATGCTTGTTTTATGATTGATTTTATTCTAACAATTTATCCTGTAGGTGCAGGTCATGAATGTTCTGAAAAAAGATCTTGAGAAAAAAGTGAAACTTCTGGAGTTCCCTGGTAAGTCCAACGTCACTATAAAATGCATATTATAGCATAAAAGAGGGGTGAAGACTTGCAAAATATGTGATTAAAATATAAATAAATGTGGAGTTAAAGTAAATAAATACATTGTTCCCACTGTAAACATAATGAGAGCAAGACATAAGATAGATTCAACTCTCATGTCTTTCTGTTAAATATGGAGCTACATCTTGCGGCAAACTAGTTTACAGTACATAGCCAAACAGTTAACATGGCTGTCTCCAAAGGTAACAAAACCTGCTGTAACATTTTATAAGATAAGATGGACCTTTATTAATCCCCGTGGGGAAATTCAGTTGTGCAAGCAGCAACAGGGTAAGCGTGAAAAACAGGACAGCACAGATTCACACAGATTCATAAAATAAAAAATAAAATCAAGAACAAAATTAAAATAATAACGATAATAATAATAAAAGACTATGAAATAGGAGATGAGTAAAAATAAGAGTAAAATAACTGTCAGCATGTTTACATATTTGGTCATCTAAATTATGAAGTACGAAATGAGTTAAAGTGACAAGTGGAAAGTGAAAATGGACATCTGTAGGCTACATAGTGACATATCTATCTACATATTTGATCTACTACTAATATACTTACATGGGTTGTGGAAACAGTGTATATTTGTGTCTAGTGATTTTATTTTATTTATATCTTGTTTGTTTAATCTGTGTGTAAAACAACTTATTTGAAAGAGCCAAGCTTTTATATTTACTGTAGAAAACATAAGTGGTATCGATCTCTCACTCAGAGACATTAAGATATCACTTTCATGTCTTCCTGTTAAATATGAAGCTACATCTTGCAGTTAGCTAGCTTAGCATAACCAGCACTGGCTGTAGCTTCATATTTAACTTATAAACACGAGTGCTATCAACTTTGTCTAATTCTCAAAAATAAAAAAATAATCAATAGTTCTTAGTTACCGTCTTTTAGGTTTAAGCCATTTTAACAAAAACAGCAGCATTACTTAACAAAGAGGGAATTTTATGGGCGTTTAACAACACTAAAATGGCTTATAGATCAGATTCTCGTTTGACTTGTGTTTCTCAACAATCCGATTTTATTTTGCATGTCTTGATTTGTTAAGTCAAACATAAGCTTTGAATTCTTGTGGTAAAGATTTTGACATCCAGATCTGTGAAATCTGAATCTTTAGGATATACAGAAACATTTCAATCAGAAACCAAATACAGCAGCACCTTTAAATGTATCTCATTATCCAAATCGCTGCACACCAGACAGAAAATCTGAGAGTAATTGTTGATTAAATCTCTAATCCAAGAATGTTGAGACACTCAAGGTCTCCAGCGAACACATGCTGAAAAAGCAGATACTCTTTTTTTTTTCAAGTGAAGGTTTTGCCTGGGATTCTTTTTGGCAGAAAAAGCAAAGTGGCTGAAAAACGCTTCCAACAAACGTTCAGATACAATAAACCGAGATCTGCCTGCACTCCCAAGAACCAAATTCCTCCTTTTTGTAGCATTTTTATTGGATTCAGATGATTTATGCCTCGGGAAATTTGTATCAGCAAGCTCCTGAGATTTTCTTGCAGCTTTCGAATCATAAATGTGCACATCATTATTTTAGGTTTCCATATGTGTGGGCGAGAAACTATAAAGACCCTGCCCAGCTGGCGTAAGTCGAACAGTTTTATTCATATTCGCAAAAAAACTTTCATAGAGCCTTCTCAATCACAATACGCACCAGGCACAGTTGGGAGTAAAAAAACAACAACTACGAGAATGAATGAAGAATTAAATTAAAATGTACACAGCACAGCTGCCATATGATGAGGATATTCGTCACCGGAAGAGCTTAAAATTAAGATTTTTATTTGATGTGAAGTTACAAAAACATTATTTTACATTTTAAGCACTTGTTAAAGCTATTAGATAGATCTGAGTTTCCCGATTGTAATTACAACCTGGATGTTGACATAAACGGTACTTATGAGTTGAAACAGGTAATTATGGTAATTTGTATGATATGAGCCCAGCATAAAGTCTTGTCTCAGGGAAACAGATGTTTTGCGTTAGAGTTCATTACTGTCCATTTAAACATCTAAGTCTGAAGTAGTGAGCAGAGAAAAAGTGTGCACAAAATCCTCTTGCTATTACAGTGCTGCTCTATACAATGAATGTACTCAACTATTTACAAAGGACCACAGGTTAAACATTATTTCACGGCACAGGCCCACCGTGTCAGTTAGACTCGAACACGAACAGATTATCTCTGTCAGTCATATTTACAACTCGTTCTTGAGTGTTGATTTAGCTACAAGTTTATCTGGGTAAGTTTCTGCCAAAGAGGGAAGAGTTAACTAAATAGTCACACATGTCATCTATTGGTTATGAGAGAAGATGAAGACCATCAGAAATACTCCTCACTCTACCACATTGGAAGGTAAAGTAGGGCTGAAATGCATTACTCTGCTTCTACATGCATTGGTTATAAAGCATTTGTTAACTTTTTAGTGTTTGTTTTTTTAACTTTTTCTCATGTATTCTTGTTTTTGAAGCTGTTGTTTCAGTGTCTGTTTCACAGAAAACTTCACAAACCCGTTTCTGCAAAGAGATATCATATTCAAGACCCTTAAAATGTATTCTGATAAGATGTTTACAGACAAATGTAAGTCATCCATGATAAATCATGAATTCTCTTTTCATGAAAATATATCTTTATTCTAAAACTGCCCTGGTTATTGTTGATAAAAGATAAAGTGCAGTACGTCCCAAACTGAAGCCAACAGAACTCTTTAAGAGGCAGATAAATGTTGTTTGGCCTGGAAAAATAATCTCTGCAGATAAACATGTTATGAACTGCTTCTTCTTTGGACATCATCCAACTTGGTCAAATGTGATCGAGAACTCATCAGCAAACATATAAAAGGTTTTACTTAGAAATGATTATCGTATTAAGTTACAAAAGCAAAAATAATGAGGCCAACACACGTAAAACGCATTTAAATTCAAAAGTTACATTAATCCCTTTTCTGCTCTTTCTGTTCATCTGTACAATTTCTCAGATTAAAACACCAGAGGGCGACATAACACAAAGGCAATAGTTTCAATTCAAGTTGTCTGGTGTCCCATGACCACATGTTACGCTCAGTTATAGCTTAATATTTGTGGGAGGCGTAGAATACATTTCTAATCACAGCATGTGTTGTTTTTAAGTGACAAACATAGTTCTGCTTGTTATGACAAATCGTGGGTGTGGACACATAATAAGAAAATGAAGGTGTGTTATATCCGCTTTGAAGAGAAGGTGATCGACTGCAATCTGCCATCCCTCCACGACCTGCACGCCTCCAGAACCCTGATGCGGGCAGGGAAGATAGTGGCCGACCCCTGCCACCCTGGACACAAACTGTTCACCCCCCTCCCCCCTGGCAGGAGGGGAAGGGACCAAAACCTCTCGCCACCTGAACAGTTTTGTCCCCTCCGCTACCGGCCTCTTAAACAAGGCCCGGCTCCCCCACTGACACTTTACCTCAGCCACATCATAGACTCTATGCATTACATTAATGCACACAATGCTCAAATACTGCTTACTGCACATATTCTTATTTCATACTCTATATTCTATTATTCACTGCACTCTATTTCACTGTAAATTACTGCTTTATTTTATTGCCATTTAACTACATTTTATTACAGTGTCCTTAAACATTTTTTGTTTTATATTCTATGTATGCACCATGAGATCAAGTCAAATTCCTCGTATGTGTGAACCTACCTGGCAATAAACCTGTTTCTGATAAGTGTTCTGCAACCCTTCTCATTCCACTAGTCGGAATCGACTCAACTAACAAAAGAAAACAAGGGGGGAAACTCCCATGAAGCTGTCAGAATGGTGCAGGAATGAGTCCTAAAAAACTAGAAATGATTTGGCATGCTACCGATTCCTGTTCGCACGCCTCCTAACTTTTTTGTTTGAGGTTGTAGCTATATGCCCAAAATAAGGTCTGTGGTTGACAAATCTTAACCGATTTTCACGTTATGTGGTACAACATAAAGTATGTCAGTAAATACCCAACTTGTGAATGTGCAAAACTTTAAGACTAAAAGAGATTACTAAACGTCACGTCGAACATTTGCCACCTTCAGCTTAGCAGTGGTGACATGAAGGCATGCAACAGTTACGTTAGATTTTTACTTCTGCGAAGCTCTCTTAAGAAGAATACAGCTTTGTCAATAACTCTTCCTCAAGAGCGAAATCCAACGACTGGGAGGTTTTTGGTGTCATCCTAGATAGAGAAAAGAACCAGGTCGTATTATGAAATTATTAACATCACACGCTTTTTGAACCAAATATGCAACTGCGTGTGTTAATAATTGCATGTCTTCACTGCTCATAGGATATGCGGGTTCGGGTCGGTTTGCGGAACTAATTGGCAATATGAGCGGGTAGCAGGGCGGGTTCGGTATTGGACGTCGCGGGTGCGGGCGGGAGCGGGTCTTGAAAATCAGACCCGTGCAGGACTCTGCACTGAGCTAATTCTCTGTAAAAATCAATTTGAAAAATGCAATTGCTATTTTCGCGTGCAAGGACTTGGGACGCTAACTTCAGGGTTGGCCTTCAAAAATACATCATTACTGCACCACTCAATGAAATCTAGGACAGAGGAAGAGGAAGTGACATCACTCACCGTCTCCTTCTGGAAGTAGATGAGGGCGCCGGCTACTACCTGAGCGATGACGATCAGCAGGAGGCAGGTGAAGTACTGCGGAGAGACAGCAGATGGTAAACTCATGTGAAACATCGGAGTGGTAAAACATGTTGGTGCAGCAGGAGCCCCGTAAAACCTTTAAAAAAAGAGATCTTAATGGCAACAAAGCAACTATAAATGAACCAACTTCAAAGTGGTATGTGTGTGC